AATTAAATAATAAGAACTAAATAAAATTTATAAATCTTGGTAATTAATGAATAGTAAGTACCGTTTAATTTTCATTAAAATTAAGTTTCCTGGAAATACTTTAACATTTTTTCAAGTATATAATTCTATGAGTTGAGTAAATATAGTAGACCACTAACGAAAATTTGCGTGGATCAAGTTATCGATCGAATCGAATTATATTTAATAATACAATTAAGTTTGAATAAGATAGTAGAGACCCAAATGGTCACGACACAATAAACCTAATGTAATATGATACTATAATGTCTTTTTATTTTTATTCCATATTCTATTTTTCASTACAACATAAGTCAGACAACAGGAAACCTGAAAATTCAAATCATGTGGTCGTTAACCAGGCTTCAGCATCTATATAGTTTATAGCCTAGTGTACCTACCTCCTATTACAACTTACACATGTTTATTTTTCGCGTAAATGGTTAAGATATAACATATACATATTTTTAATATATTTCTAATTAATTATAATATTGGATTATCTCTAACATCTTTATTTTGAGTGCATTTAATTTAGATGTTAACAGTTTATGCATAATACACGTTTGATAAACTTTATCGATTTTACATAGTACAAATTATTTTAACTTATTGATCAGAGTCATTTGAAACTATGAATAAATCCAATACATCAATAATTAACGTACCTACCTACTTAATCGAAAAATATAGAGTATTGAAAAATAAATTTTAAACAAAATACAATATTTCAATATTTATAAATTATGATTATTTGTTATAACAATAGCAAACATATTATATAAAATTATAAACAATTGTGTTTGTATTTACTAGATATTACTAACAATTATTGGATTGGCACTTGGCACTTCAAAATATTCTCTAATACATTCACAAAGRTAATGTTCCCAGGAGTGTAAAATATTTAAAATGTACATTTTTAAAAGTAATTTTTTAATCAGAATCAAAATATTAAAAGATTTAATAAATAGATTATCTATATATTTATCAATCTAACATTCATATATATATATATATGAGAATTAATACAATAAATATATACGATAACTCAAACTTTGTTTTGGTTTTTTAAACTTCGAGTTAAACAAGTCAAATGTAATAGGAATAAATTGGATACATTAACATTCATAAAAATTTTTAGTATTTATGGATGTTAATTGAGTTTTCATTTTTTTTTAACAACTATTTTTGTTGTTAAATGTTTGTTTTATTATCTATGTAAAAGTTATTTTGGTTATTATTATTTTAATTACTATACATTCATATCGGTCATAGTAATTTTACAGTTTAGATTATATATGTTATTAATCACGGTGAATTTTTGATATCCCCTGTGCCGCATACATTCTGAGAATTTCTCAACTAGCATTACCAATCTGAATTCTATTGTATTCTTTGGTTAAACGGTCTTTTTATGATTATTTATTTCGTAGTATTATCTTATGATCTTCTATGTTTTAATGCAAAACTTTTAAGTGAGCATTTTGTAGCTACATAGATAAAATTGATCTTAATTATTTAATAAATAATTGTTATCAATTTTAAAAGCGAAAAAAAATTCTACTATATTTTCGTGAAAAAGCAAGTAATATAATTTATAATTAGCTTTAAATTGATTTTATTCTTTGAATTATTGATATATTTTAAATCACTTATATTTTTATTTTCATTTTATTCATGATCACTTCAACAAATCATCTAAATTTAGTTTTATAGATTTCTTTTTTTTTGCATCTTCTTCGTCGCTATCACTATCAACATCGTCCTCGTCAGATTCTCTTCTCTTTTTACCTTTTTTCCGCTTTTTAGAATTTTTGTTTAGTTTTTCATCGCTTGTTTCATCACTTTCTTCTTCACTAATATCTTGCTTACCTTCTTTTTTTGATTTTTTAAACGGAAGTGTAAGGCCTAATCCAGCTTTAATACTACCATTATCATCATGTATCAATAAACGTTTTAGTTCTCTTAGAGCTTTCAACTCTCTACTTAACGAAGGACAAAACACATTCAAAATTTTTTGCCAGAAAAAATTTTTTATTCCTCTCCACGCCATGTGAAAATTATAACGATTTTTAGAAACCTCGAGCATCTTCCGATTTTTATATCTGGTTGTCAATGCATTCACAACAACTTCAAAAAGTTGTTTTGTTCCAAGTCGATCATCAAATGGTTTAACCTTAAGAGAATCTGAAATATTCAGTTACAAATAAAGATATTGATTATTGATATGTATCTATAATATAATGTTAGAATGTAATGATAATCATTTCAACTACAATTTTAATTTGGTTAATTTCAAACTGTAAAAACTAGATTTGAAAAGTTTATGAGCCAGAAATACTATATTCACTTACAAAATTATTTTTTGATTTTATAGGTATAATTCAAAATTTAAATAAAATGTATTATTAATCATCATATAGTGAATTAAACGTTAATACATTTATAATTTTTACATTTATTTAATAACACTAATTAGTTATAAATGTAAAGTTAACTATAAATAATTTAATAAGCTATATTATATCTAAGTGTATTATCTAAGTTTTATGTTATTAATACATCGTCAAAATCTTTAAAGACAAATAGTCCATATTATGGCCAATTGAATATAATAWGTTATAATAAACGTCAATAGTTGCTGAATTATCGAAACATAAAAAAAAAAATTATTGTATTTATTGATTTCTATGATATTTATTAGCTTATTTTATATATAAACTCTATAACTAACCTCTAATGTATATTTTTTCCCTTCCATTTGCTACTGACAAGATATTTATGAAGAAAATCGTTAAAAATAAATAAACACACTTTCCATCCATTAATAAAAATAATTTTAAGATATGTGGTATATAACATAAATCATACTTTATCTTACTATGAAGTAAACCATTGATATTTTTTTTTTCGTTAAAACCCATGATGGGTGGTTTTTTTTTGAACTATTCTGCTAATTGTTTAACAAGTGAATATATGTTTTCGTATTATTACAATGACGTTAACGTACAAGTGTAAAATAATATAATAAACGGTTTTTGTTTACTATAATAATTAACATAAGTTCACATGTAGGTAATTGCATTTTGTTTCAAAATTAATTTTTAATAAAAATAGATTTTCAATGGTTTCGTGTTAAACCTGTAGTTATTAGGCAGATATGTTAAGAGTAGCTAGTTACATTCAGTTAGATCGTTTAGCTAATGATTTGYCTGAGTTCCAAACAAAAATGGCTAAACTTGTAAGCAAATCRATCCAACTCTTTTTCAAATTAGATTCTTAACGTACAACGAAATAATAACGGAAGGTATGGAACGATCAAAGTCAATTAAATWATTTTTGCATATTATATCAAAACGGTTTTGGTGCCTTCACTAATACTAAGCCGTAATAAGCTTATATACCGTGTTCAAATCAAGATGGGCGATCGCCATCATTATTTATTATTAATATTATATAGTTATCATGCAGTGTTCATTATTTATAATATGTATATATTATTTGTTTTGAGCCAGAAGGTTGACTGTAGACAATAGACATGATAGCAGATTGAAGGATTATGTATTCGAAGTGTCTTTTTGGCGTGGAATTCATATTAAACAGAAACAGACGCCACGATCATACTATTATTTACGCATCCACAATTCACTATATATTATATTAAATTATAATATATACACTTTTGATTTTTGGCAGTGTTATACTAAATGATAATAAACGTCTAAGACATTTATTTTTAGTTGGTTAATTTTCATTTCGTATTTTAATCAACTGAGAACGTACAATAAAGTTTTTTTCCAAAATAAAATTACTACTTCGTAAATATATTAAATATTATTTACATACATACTACACAAATTTTTAAACCTGAAACCACCCATTTTAAAAATAAATGTTTTATCTAATAATTAATATTACTTCTAAACTACAAAATGCTCGGTATTCGGATAATTGAACACCCGGGACTTATGACACCCGACGGTTTTGCCAATTTCGGACTTTTTGCACCCGATATTTTTAGAACACGGACAATTGACACCGAGCGATTACATTTACGATTACGATGACGATAATCGTGAGTAGGTAAATACCTATAGGCATTAAGCAATAGTTAATAGTTATTAGTTACTAGTTAGTGTTTGTAGTGTACCTAGTCTGTATTCAGTTTTCTTTAAAAGTAACAGATTCATAATATTCATTCAATATGGACTCAAAGTGTTCCGATATAATTGAAATAATTAAAACAAAAGTAATAATTAATGATTATATTCATGTGTTTCAAAAAAAAGTAGGCGATCGGCTTAGATAGGTACACTTGTATTCAACGAAAGAAACATTATTGTAATGGTAGTGTAACGATAAATTCGTCCAAAACCAAAATTTTAAATTTCCAAAAACATTCTCATAATCCTGATCCTACCGAAGCTGAAGTATGTCGTGCCTTAATGGCGATGAAAGAAAATATTTATATTATTTATATTAAATACTTCGATGTAACATAATATGTCAATGGGCCGTACAAATTAATTAATAATACTCAAGTAATGTGCTTCAAAATGAGACCATATATTTTTGCTCCATATATGTGGAATGTCCACAATGCAACAAAATTATGATATAGTAGGCCTAATAATATATCAGAAGGTTGGAACGATAAGTTCCAACATTTAATTAGATTTAAACATCCACATATCTATAATATAAAAATGAATCGCAAAATGTGTTAGTAACCGCATAACTCAACAACGCCYGGACCAATTTGGCCAATTATTTTTTTTTTTWAATGTTCATTGAAGTCCAAGGATGGTTTTTACAGCGAGAAAAATTCGAATAATTTCTGGGAAGACCCTAAAAACAGCCCTTTTCTTTTTAAAACAGCCATTAATATAATATGGATAATATAATATTGATCGTCTCGCCCATGGCAATGTAATCACTGATCAAGAACATCATCTACGGTGGTCGATTATTTGTGAGCTCTCTGTTAATGAACGATTATAATTATAATTATTTGGTTGATGAACAATTTACAATGCCATTCAATTTTTTATTCATTATTCATGTATGTATATTATTTAAAGACGTACATTTTTACTAAAAAGTTGAAAATTGAAACATCAACAAACTGTCAATATGTCGTAAGTGTTGTTTTTCTTGGATTTTCTGTCCTACTCTACTGAGTTTGCTTTTGTCAAMTGATACACGWATTRAATTCGTATATCGTGTTTTGTGCAGAGTGTTAAGTTACCTATGATCACTMATTATTGCATGTGACACAATAATTTATATTTGATATGCCTCCTATACGACGAAGCAATTTAGGTAGAAAACCCGAAATGCTACAAACCAAGGTAATTACCGATCTAACCAAAGTGCACAAGAACGTGACGACCGAAATGAACGTGAAAGAATTCGGATATCACAAACGCGTGAAGCGYGAGCGYGACATTCAACTAATAATCGCGCAAGTTTGAATCGAGCTGCTTTCAGTTACAATGTGTCAATTGACTACAGTAACTACCACTGTGTTGTTATTGGTTCTATGAACTCGGTTTGCTCATATTKTAAGGCTTTGAAATACAAAAACGAAGCAAATGGATTGTGTTGCGTAAATGGTAAAGTAAAATTGATACCATTGGATCCACCACCAGAACCATTGTACTCATTGGTTTCAGGAATAGGAACAGATTCMAGGGGCAATCATTAAGTGTTTGTGCCGTTTGTGGTATTAATCTGGAAAACCCATGTTTCTCACATGGTCGATTATGTTGCCTGTTCCCGTGTTGGGAAACCATCAGATTTGTTTGTCTATATGCGCCAGGTAATCAAACAAAAAACATCGTTTATCACAAAGCACTACAATGAAAATAAAACTGATTTTTATTAATAATTATGATTGACATGATTAACAATAAAGCGATTACTTACTTTTAAATGCTTATATAGTTATATATGTTTTATTTAATTATTTTTTACTCACACCGCTCTATCACCAGGGTGACGGTTCTGTTCAGGAAAATTTTTTGCCCCGACAGGACGAGTTCGGTGACGGGAAGGTGATACAAATTAAATAAAATAACAAATAAAAAATAAAATTGAATAAAGTTTGAGTCATATGGAGATGGTACATTTRACGGGCAACGAAGTGCACGGGATCAGCTAGTATATTATATATTTATTGAAGTKTTACAAATGGTGAACTCCATAATCTCAATGGCGATTTTAAAATTAATACAGGTATTCAAATAAATTGTGATATTAAATCAAATGAACTAAGGCTTAAACATATAATATGTAAAACTTCTCAATTCAAAATAAATACGGAAATTATTAGTTTTTAAAAATCGTATCCTGCGTAATTAAACATTAAATTTGAATATTATCTTTTATTTTTATTACCTATTATTTATATTTATATTAATTAATGTTTACAAAATCTTTTATCTCTTCATTTTATTAGAATACACTTTTGAATTATATTATTATATTATATGATTATACGCTGATTATTCAGTATTTATACATTTTATATTCGGTGTCAATTGTCCYATTATTGGGTGTCAAATGTCCTAGATTCAAAATTCTCAAATTGTACAGTTAAAATGCCTACTTAAACGAGTGAATAGTTTATATTAAATAACACAACTTGTCAAGATTCTAAAATATTGATAAATGATTATTTATTTATCTATAACTTTTATCTCATTATTTGATAATTAAATGAAATTATGTAAATATAAACACCCAATGAAAAATGAATTTTAGGTATAACTCTAATATTTACTAACCATTTGGTCACAGCTGATTATGGTAAACATTGCATGCATAGAGAAAATAAACAGCTTGAATAAAATAAAATTGTTATAGATTATAATATGTACAAACGTGGACTTGGCAACGAAACAGTGAACACCGAACTCAAGAGTGCTGTTCAATATCTTACGATAATATTATTCCACATAAACAACCATTTTGTGTGATTTTAATTATAAATTCGTCCTTCTTCGTCGTCTTGACGAAAAAATATCAAAAATCAATTCATGAATAATGGCCACTGATAGGAAGTATGAATCGTCCAACGTTTACTCGTCGAATGATTCAACGAGTACGGCGTCGGATATAAATCTGGTGGCACACGCAAATCGGATTTACAAAAGAGCCAAGGTAATATCACCGAAATAGGGCTGCAGAAGAGCTTTACGACTTTTCGAAATTTTTTTAAATTGGAGACAATGAGTCTGTTGAAATAAGCTAATCGTTCAAATTTTGTTAATTTTAGAACACCAATAATGTCGGATATTGGCAAAATCAAAAAATGCGCTAATAATTATTATTCCGCATCGCAGAATATCCAATTAATGTTCAATTATGTAATATTTTGGTATATTTTCTATGATAAATAATGATAACACGGCGTTGTAGTTAGGCAATTTAGCTACATCATGTTGTCTTTCATGTCTTCTGTAATAGTTTATCGGTTTTACGTTTACGCACTACATACGCAGGGAAATTATATTCCTATAATGTTACAATATAATATTACGAAATATGGCGTTAATGAGTTTAAAATATCTAACATAGTTCATTAGTAAGCGTAACTTTTGACGTAGCTGTAATTTATTACGTATACTAGTTAGTATAATATACTAACAATGAGTTACTTAAACAGGTWTTTGTACTGCAATGTAACGTGAAACATGATGAATCATTTAGGACATCATAGCAAAATCAATGCGTTACTCGAGAAAAAAACATTATATTGCATAGATGATAAATAATATTTCTTAAAAATATATCAGCGCAATATTTGTTTTTTCTCTCAGAC